CCCCCTCCCCGTGCACTGCGGAGAATCCTCGCGCGGCACTCGCAGCCAGATAATAACAATATTATTAGAGCCTGGGACCGATATATTATAGGCACATAAAAAAAAAAAAAAAAGAAAAAAAGAAAAAGAAAAAAAAATATTCGAGAGGCAAAGGGGAGGTCACGCAGCAAACTATCCAGAAGGTAAAAGCATGCTTTTAATAGAGGGAATTTGAGGCGTCGATTCCGCCCGTGCTGCTGCAGCTGGAGGCTCCTGCCCAGGGCGGTCGGGAACACGCGTGGATTCGCGAGGGCTGCAGGGATGGACAGCTGGAGAGAGAGGTGGGGGAAGGAGGAGGAGGAGGAGGAGGAGGTGGAACAAAGCAAAGGTGCTGGGATCGCCGCGAGGAGAGCGAGGGAAGGACTTTGGGGGATAAAATCGGGGGTGGCAGGTTATCCCTGCCGAGGGGAATCGCTGCCAGGCGGTGGAACCTGCGCGGAGCCGAGCGATCCGTGCTGCTATGTCAGCAGCTGTCCCCGGGAAAACCGACCTAGGGAAAGGGGATTGAAATAAAATACCCGATTCCCGAGGGTTTTCTTTTGTATCTGGATGCAGGATTGTCATCTCTCGGGAGATAGAGGGAGCACCAGGCACTGGCATGTTTTTCGGGTTATTGCCATTACTGATGTGCTGATTGATGTTTAAAGACAAAGGTCTTAAAAGATTTTCTCTGGAGAGGAGATCTCTGCGTGTCTCCTGCTGAGGGTGATGAGTTGGGAAGTTATTGTTCTCTGTGTCAGGGACCACACACACACTGACCCTCTCCTCCTGCAGAAGGTGATGGGCAGGAAGGACGAGGCTGGAGATGTCAATAAAGAACGTGCATGTCTTTACTGTCACTGCTATTTGTCATTTGTACCTCTGCCCGAATTTTGGCCGTTCCCACGGTGAGGGGTCAGCCAGGTGTGTGAGCTCTGTGTGGTCCCTTCCCAAAGACTTGACCAGTGCTGAAAGTGCCACTGTGAATACAGCAGTTAGCTCATCAACAGGGGGTTGTGCAGCCAAGCTGGTGACAATTTATGGCTTCTAGGGGAAAGAAACCCTCAGTGGAAGTGTGTGGCAGGGCAGAGATTGAGGCAGAACCAGCTGCCACAAGAGAGGCTGGAGAGAGAGAGATGACTTGCATCTCGAGAGGCTGTTTGGAAACATCCCATTTTGTGCAGCTCTTGCAGCACGTGGTACTGTGAACCAGTTCATTTTACATACTCAGATATTTCAGCAAATAAGTTTAACCTCCAAATCAGCTGAAATTATCTCCTAATTCAGACTGTGCTTAAACCCTTGGCTGTACCCACAAAGGGCAGATAAAGTATCTTCAGTTCGATTTTCAAGCCCTTTCCTTTCTGCATATTCCTAAACTTTGTGGGAGCTTCAAAATGTTCTTTCTTTACAAATAATGAGTTAACCCATTTCCCATCTCAGGTGCATTTGCTGACAGGTCACTTCAGGACTGCTGATCAGTGCTGGGCTGTTGGCAGTGATTTTTTTCTCTGATAAACAGCAATGCTGAAGAAGAGACTTGAAGGCACAGAACTGGATGGGATTTATAGCCAAGGATGGAAATGGGGCAGAAAGAACAGGAGCAAATGCTGCTGTAGGAACTCCCAAAATCCTCATTAAAGAGAACACATACCATTTTCAATGAAAAATAAGATTATTCTGATTTGCATTCATAATATATAAGCAGCTTATTGGTATTTATTAACTCAATTTTGATAGTCTTTCAAAGTTATTATTACTCCAGAATCAACTATTCCTAAAACAGATTTCACATGGAGCAAGTTAGAGCTTTTGGCAATAGAGCAGTGATGGTGATGCTCTAAAATAGCTCATCAAATAGCATTTGCAGGGCAGTGAACTTCAGTATCTTCTGTGTAATGGTTCTTTCCTCAGGAGTTCTTTTGTCCTGATGACAAAGTGGTTTCAAGGCCACATCTTGGAATCTCTCGGTAGCAGTGGTACCTACCAAGTGTATCCTGTAGTGAGCTTTGCCAGAAGCAAATCTAAAGTCACCTGCAGAAATCTGGGCAGGGGAAGAGATAAACTATTGTTTTTGAAATTTGAAAATGAATCAAAGGATATTTTAAGCTTTTAATTGTAAGTTCCTTAAATCACAGAATGGTTTGGGTTGGAAGGCAACTTAATGATCATCTTGTTCCAACTCTCTGCCATGAGCAGGGCCACAATATATATATTGTCATATATGATATACAATTACTTTGTGTTTTCATTTTAAGTCCCCCCTGTATTAGAACTAAACTACTCCAAAGGACATAGTGGGATGTAATTCTCTTCAGTGTGATTTCAGTAGCTCTAGTAATGCACATTTTATACTTCATCAAGTTCAGCAGTTGGCACATGTTAGTCCTGGAAAATTAGTGGGTGTAAGTTGTTTGAAAGTTTTTTTCTTGTTTGAAAGTAGGCACATTAGCAAAATCTGGTGTTTTGGAAAGGGCTGGGTGGTATTTTAGAATGAGGCAAAGGTATTTCATAGTGAAAGTATTTTCCTCCTTCAGCATCAAAATCTATCATTTAAGGAACAAAAAAGGTAAGTTTGTTAGTTCTGCTGTGCTGGGTATTTCAATTAACTCCTTTAAAGGTAACTGTTCACAAATGAATGATTTAAAAAGCACAATAAAGTCACACACAGATACTTTGTAATATCTCAAGGTAACAAAACTGCAGAAAACAATATCCAGTGCCAAGGTGGAGGATCACAAGAACTTAATTCTATTCTTGTAGTGATACATTTTGATCCTATTTCTTCCATGCAGATGCTAGATGAAAATCACCACCTAATACAGTGTATTATGGATTATCAGAGCAAGGGGAAAACTGCAGAATGTACTCAGTGAGTATTATGTGTTTGGGAGTTTGTTAGAAATTTCTGCTGTACTTTTTTTCCAAGGAGAGTACATGAACAGTTCTGGACACTGAGAAAATAGTGGGACTGTTCTTTCAGATTCACTTGTATTAAGAAATGTATATTTTTCTTGAATCAGATGGATTTTTCCGAAAGTATTTGAGTATTTAGTGTTTGCAATATTTGAACAAGTCATTTATTAAAATAATGATAATTATTTGATTTATATGAATGTATCTGAATTATAAATTTGGTTATTGGATCGTTTGCTCTATGCAGATTCATTAAACACAAGTAGAATCAGGTACAAAGTTAATACACATTTTCATCAGAAGGTAATGTTACAGATCAGCCCTGTGGTTATCTATGGCTGAGACAATATGTTTGTATACAGGTCAGTCTCTATCACTATTTACTATTCCTAATCTTGAAAGCAAAATACTTTTATAAACTTTAGGTGTTAAATCTCAGTCGGGAAGAAAAACCACTGCCCTATGAAAGGTCAAGTCATGGGGCCAAACCCAGAGAGTTGTACTTCCAGAAACATTGTCTGAAAGAGCAACCTTTGCTCAAGAAGTCATGTCACCACTCTGGCTTCATTTTTGCTGCTTTCCCAGGTATTTTCCCCTTACCAGAAGAAAATTCATGCTAAAAATAAATTTTCCCTTGCCTTCTTGGAATGCTCCCTATTTCCAGGAGTCTGTCTCTTCCCTTTGCCCAGTGGCACAGCTGTTAGTTTGCTGTTGGAAGCTCTCCTGTTCTTTATTATGAGCTTTTCCAGCTCATCGAGAACTGTGAAGAAGCACAAATGGTTCTGGTGGTTCTCACTTGAGTAAACACTCCAGCTAGAGCACTCTTGAAAAAAATACTTTCCTTCTCAGATTGCTGGCAGGGAAAACAGGTTTTGGATGTTGGAGTTCTGGAATGTCATTACTGTTAGGACCCTTGTTCGGCAGAGGAAGGAAAAGTGGCTCATTTTTAGAGCAGCTGCCTGGGTGTCAGTACTCAGAGGCTGAAGGTCTCAGCTCTGCAGTTCAAAGTGCTTTCAAAGGAGATTGGATTTTGCTTCTCCCTTCCCCCAAGTTTATCCTTTTGTAAAAGAGGTGTTGAACACACTGATCCCTGATGGAAAGCATGACAGCACAGATACAGGTCATTACCACTGCTTTTTATTAGGACAGATCAAAAGTGGGATAATGCAATGTAACCATTTGTAAATGGGGGGGAGGGAAGAGAAAGGTTTGGAATTTTCTGTGTTGTTAACCCTTTCCAAATAAGCTTTACTCCTTGTTCTGTAGATACCAACAAATCTTGCACAGAAACCTCGTTTACTTGGCAACAATAGCAGACTCTAACCAGAATATGCAGTCCTTGCTCCCTGCTGTAAGTACCAGTCTACCATCAGATGCATTAACTGTGCCAGAGGGAAATGTTCTTGCTGTTGCTGATCACTCTCAGTGAACCATTTTTTAGTATTTTTCCATCTAAAAGCTTTGGAGTGGCCAAGTAGACCAACAAACAAATCAAAAGTTACTGCCACTGTGTTTAAAACACATTCTTTGGGGTATTTGTGCTAATCTCTGTCTCCATAGCTCAGGTTCTATATACTATAAATGGTGCATTGGTACAGATCTGAACAGCTCCATTTGCTGCAGATTCATTATTCTTTACCTGTGCTTATTGTATCCTTTACTTGGGGGAAAAAATGCCACGATTTTACATCCAAAATCTAATTCAGCACTTGGGCATTGGTTTCTCTTTAAACCTTGTGTTATTCTGGCTAAATGGATTGATTTGGGAGGTATCACACATAACACAAACTACAGCTTAGCTTTATGCTTGGCAAAGGTCAATCTGTCAACACACTTCTGTGTTGTCTTTGCTAACACATTCCCTGCAGTGGCTGTGTTTGGAGATCCATGGAAGTAGGGAAGGATGGGCAGAGAAACCAGACTCTGTGACAGGCACAGTTTTAAGCCCTTCCCTGTGCTGCTGCTGCTCTGTGTCGTGCTCAATGTCATTCACACAGAGGAGGCAAATGAAGGATTGTTTACACAGCCAAGCCCCCCCAAAAAAGTGAAGGAAACACACATTTAGTTGAGGCAGTTTTTAGTCACAGTCAGACTAATTTGGGGATTGTTGGTTTTTCTAATTAAAAACCTAACCAAAAAATTTGCTTTTCCTCCTTGTTGTTTGCAGCCACCAACGCAAAATATAAACTTGGGCCCGGGAGGAATGACTCAGAGTGCATCCAACCAATCTCTCCATTCACAGAGCAATCTCAGTGATGCAATTGGGACTGGCCTCCCTCCTTCCTCCCTCATGCAGAGTCAGATTAGCAATGGTGAGCTTTGGTCCCCTTTGTGCTGCTTTGCTGTTGCTTGGCAACAAAATCATTAATGCAGAATATACTTACAGAGCTGGAAAAGACCTCTCCTAACTCACCTTTCAGGCATATGGGGATTTCAGGCACATGCTGAAATCACTACAAAATGGCTTACAGGCAGTAATGATGTTGGTTTCTGCGGGGAATCTTGAGTGAGCTTTGAATTTCTGGAGAGGAAATTAAAAGCATCTTTCAAATAATGCAGCATGGAAAGCACCATGTAAAGATGCATCCAAGTTTTTAGGAAGAAAAATGATATATTGTAGGATTTTTCCCTTGGAATTGGTGGGGCTGGCCAGGGTGAAATGGAATTGCTTGCATGGCTAACCATGCCACCAAGCCTGCAGATTGCAGAGACCTTCCAGAATATCTGCCCTCTTACAAATCATTCAGTGTTGCTCCAGCCTTTGTCCTCTGCAGAATTTTGCAGAGATTGTACTACACAGCCAAAGAGTCTGCAGAGACATTTCCTATGAATAAGTTAATATACTTTGTCTGGGTTTGTTCATGCAGCTGAAAGAAACTAACTGAAAGGCAATTATTTTTTTAAGCTGTGCATTTTATAGTATGAATAGTCTGTTTACTTTGTAGTTCGTAGGTATCCAGTCAGTTGTTGTGTCTGTGGGTCTTTCCCAGAGTGACAGAGAGAGAAAAGAGTTTCTATAAATAGAAATATCTGATTGTAAAATCACAGACCTTGGCAGAGGGGAGTCAAGAGCAGATGCAAGCTATGAAATTACTTCTGAGTGTTTAAAAATCCATTTGTGGGCAAGTTGATAGTACCTTTTAACTAATAGAGGAGGTACCTGCTTTAACCACCTATAGCTTGTAAAGTGAATTTATTAATTTTTTGAAAGATTTAGTACCTAGTAGGAGAACAGTTCACTCACACCCTTGTTGAACAGTGTATTTTTTGGAAATTAGGAATAAATATGTTGAAACAATTCATATATATGTGATCTAGTACTTGTAAAAACTTCTCATCTAATGGCAATGGAGACGGAAGTCTGTAAAGAACAGGTACAGCTTTGTAAGGGAAGAAAGGAAAGGGAAGAAGCCATAGAAGCATTTTATTCTTTGTTGGCCTCAGTCAGGACTTGACAGGAATCACCTCTGCAGGACAGAGGT